CGTATATAAAGTGCTTTTCGAATTCCGTACGTTCTTCTATTGTGTCTGCGTGCTAACGCACTAGACACAAAAACTATAGTAAATTATTTTAAAAAGGCTTCTAAGTCAAGGATTAAACATACCCTAATTAAAATTTAACCCTGGGTCAGCACTTATCAGCCTTCGAACAACTGGGCCCAGTGCTTCAGCTCATCAAACATTAGTTTTTCGAGCAGCTTGTTTATATATCTAACATACCTTCAACCTTTAAAGAAAAAAAGAAAAGAAAAGTTTGAACTTTAGAGTTGAATAGTTGCAATGTACACCTCAAGTCTTGTATCTGAAACAGAATGTAAAAATTTGTCCATGGTACTAATTAATCAGAACATCCTAATCCAGTACTTATTAGGACATTCTTGCATCAACAATTTCCAGCAAAACACCACAGTCTGCAACTAGGGGAAAAGGAGAGAAATTAGGAGGGATGGGGACAATAATGGATATAGTCTGGGTTTGATGGAGGAAGTGAGGACAAAATTTATTTGTCCAGTTCAGTCAACCCTGTATTAAGCTGTCACCCACGGGAATATGGCGTCTAATACAGTGCGAGTGCTCAATACGGTGTCACCTAAGACAGGTTTGACTGTAGTTCGTGAATTGACTGATTGAAACAGAAAAAAAAGAAAACAGTTCTGACATGAGAGACGTGGAGGGGGGCAGGGGGCGGGGATTTGATCCTAACGTGGGCAGAAAAGGTGGAGGGGGGGGTGGGGAGAACAAACTTTAGTTGTCCCAGAAACAATTTTCCTTGTGACAAAACTTATTTCAAAGAAGGAAATTACTTTGACGGATATGGCAGGTGTAAGGGGTTTTTTTTCGATTACCATAGCCTATTATCAACGTTCTCACGTATTACATCGTTAGACGTGTATTTTGACGCGCACGCTACTCAGCTAGAGTTGAGCTTCCGATCTGATGTTTGGCGCGCGTACACTCACCTTCATGTTTGGGACAAAGCCTTTCTTGATGAGAAACGAGTATTCGTTTAAGCGCTCAACATAAGAGCACTCCTCTTTGAATGTACGGTGTTCTTCCGCCATGTTAGTCTTTTCATTCACGTTTCACAAAGGTTTCAGCTAACTCCGCGTAGGAGGAAAAGCCATGTGGCAATAACTCAGCGCATGACTCCCGTTTGAATATGCGCGCAGTACAATTTCGTATCCAGTCTTTCTCTGGCAGGTAATCCATAATGGCGGACGACATGAGAGAGATTGTTCTTATTAATTCTCTATGGATAAACCAAAACAGTTGTTTGTTATTTAAAAGAACGTTTACATTCAGTTTCTCAATTGAATCTCTTTTCTCATTGCTCCATAATAGCAGAGAAGAATTCGAAAGGGAACAAGCGAAAATGGGAACTAATAGAATTGGACGATCCTTCGTTCTTTGCGGGCGAAACGGATGGATTTGTGTCCCTTGAAGTCATAGAAGATTATCATCCAGAAGAGCTAGCAGGAATTGGTGCAGGTGGACCAGCTCAGAAGAAGAAAATAAAAGAACGGCCGCTGCAGAAGGTGAATTGCTCAAAGTGCTTTAAAACATACCGCATGGTTAAATTTAGAAGATACAAATGTTTGATTCACTTCAAGCCCGTGGTGAAATTACCCTTGTATTTTACGAAAAATTGAGAAAAATTATCTTTTTAAATTTTTTTGTTTATTGAAATTTTATCTTAACTCATCTTCAATTTTTAAATGTTGAGGGTTGTCCAATACATCCAAATTGGGTTGAGTCGTTCACAAATCGACCCACCAGAAGTTAATTAGTTGTTGGAAATGTCTTACTACAAGTCGATTTTCAAGATACTTAATAATAATCCTCAACCTGACTCAAATGGAATGACTTGTCTCCTGAGTCAGATTGGGTGTATTAGACATGAGAATCAAAACTAAGATAACTGCCAGTCATACCTTAAATGAGAAAAGAAACAAACAAGCAAAAAGAAAACAACAACAACAACAACAACAACACACACCACAAGAACTACATGGAAATACCGCAATTCATCGAAATCATTTTGAGAGCAGTTTGTCCTAAATTTTTTGAAGACAGCAGACTGCATTGTCCCAAGGGCTCATGCATTTTTTCAGTCTTTACCCATACATGCACAATTATGTATATCTAAGAACAGAAGCTTCTTTTTGGTTTTCTCTAGAAGTTTGGCTCACAGGGAAAAAAATCATCCATTTTTTTTTTTGGGGGGGGGGGGAAGTAAGAGTTTCGGAAACAAAAGTTGCAAAATCTGCCATGTGATACTCTTTGTCTTTCATTTTCCTGCAATTTGATCGGTTACTTTAAACAAGCCTTGAAATCTGATTGGTTGTTTTGTTTTTAGTGTAGCCACCTCATTGGCTGGAAAAAAGATGCAATTTAAGGCAAAAAATGATGTGATTCATGAATAAATTGCATCAATTAGAGCCAATCAGATTTCAAAGTGAAGTGATTTCAAAATGGGTGTAATAAGTAATGTAATTTTACTGATAAGTTTTTTATTAATTAAATTAATAATTAAATAAATTATTTTTTTTATTAATTAAGTGTTTATTAATTTAGATTATGAAACCTTCATAAACATATTTCATATCTATGCAGGTACAAATAACTTATTATGTTTAACTGTAAAAAATGATATTTTCCACCAACGCTGTGAGTTTAAGATGCAATCATATTTTATAGCTAAATCATTTATTTTGATTGAACTAAAATTTAGAGCCCATGGTAGATATGAGTGCTTGGGAAGTCCTTGGTGTTCCCAAAGAAGTTCAGAGAGGACTCAGTGAATACAGTTTTACTACACCATATGTATACAGACTCTCTCCCTTCCACCTGCAATATTCCACCACAGGGACATCATTGGTGCAGCAGAAACAGTGAGTTGAATCACAGCAGTTGCATTGGTGGAGGTCTCTTTTTTTATGTGTATTGTTTGTTTACTTGGTTTCACAACTATTTTGAAGAATCCTTTTTTTTTTTTTGGAGAGGGAGAGAGAGAGGAAAAAAAAATTTTTTTTCAACATGTACATGTGTCTACTATGATATACACCTAGCTCGTTTATGTGTAAGAAGACTGTCCCACACATTATAGCAAACAGTTTCTGTTTCTTTAGAGCTGATCTTTGACCTGAATTAATGTCTAAGTATTAAGTGATTGTTGAATAATTATAAATATGACTTTTGTAAAAGCACTCTTCAGGAGAGCTGTTGAGCTGAAAGTATGTGTATGATGTACCTCTTGAGAGATAGCTCTGACTGACTGAGTGACTGATGGTTAAATTTTGCTCTCTTAAGAACTAATGTTATAGTTCTTCCTTCTATATGTAGGCATTCTATATCTTCCTACGGTTGGTTAGCTTGTGCAGTTGGTTAGCCTGTGCGGCAGGCGGTAACGGGAGCGATTGCTTTTTAGCGGGAGTGCTTTCATTCTCCGCGAAACTCTACCTTGACAAAAGGCTTCGGAAGTCACGCTGCTTCAACCAACCATGCGTTGACCAAGGTGTGGGCTACAAATCTCAACTGTAAGAGAAGCTCAACAGAATGTGGATAGCAAAGTTCGAACGCCGTTGACGCCCGAATTCTTTATTTACCTCTAAATTTATTTTATTGCATTTATTTACTTATTTCTAAATCTTTGTTTTGTTTCCAATTTGAGTTAATGTGTGACGTTCACCTACCGAAATCAAAACATAATTCATTTAAGTTAATGAGTTTTGATTTAGGAAAAAAATTGACTCTGTTCTCCAAATGCAGTTTATATGAAAGGATCAGTTTGTTATTGTTTATCGTCCTCAGTTGTATCTCATTTAATAATGAACTGTTGTGTAATGATGTAACCACAATGTAAGTATTAACTTTAGCGCAACCATCTCATGTGATCCTGCGTTCCTAAATTCTTTCTCTGTGTTCGTTAACAGCTTTACATTCACCGTAGTGGACGGACAGCTAGAGCAAGCAGGGAAGGTCTGAGTTTCGTTCTTGTTGGCCCAGAAGAAATGGGATCATACAAGAAAATTATGAAGACGCTTAAGGGAGGTGATGTGTCTTTATTATGTCCAACGTATCTTTTAACAGTCAAACTCTAAAAGGTTATTTGCAAATCCTCCTCAGTTTAAGGTGCCATTCGTCTAAATTTCCTTTTTAGTTAGATAAATCTTTTCTCCTTAACATCAGTATGCATATTCTCCATGCATACTGTTCTCTATATATTTCTTAAGGTGTTGACATGGAGATTTCGTCAAACAATCAAGAGCTTCTTTGGTTGGTGATTATCTCCCCTATTCTCGTGACTTTAAAGGGAACCTGCATTTTTAAAGCAAATACTGCTAAAAAGACTCTAAATATATGAACTCAAGATATTTGGTACTTAAAATCATACCTCTAACCTTGTTATTGTTTTTTTGCGGCCTTCAAAACTGGCCTTTACGGCAAGTTCGAACTACCCGCGTTCGCCATCTTGTTAGGTTGCGCTATGCGTTTTGGGTAGATGACGTGTAATGGTTGCTCCGTTCTTTCGTAGTTGGGGTTATCCTGGGGTTTTCCGTGGCAAAATGGCTAATAGCGAAGCATTCGAGTGCATATGTCAGGTAAAAACCAAGCAGGGTCCCAAGCTTCGCTTTTTTAGCTTGCCAAAATAAAACAGTTGTTGACGTGCATGGATTCATGCAAGTAGGTGAAGATGAAAACAAAAACAAAAACAAAAACAAAAACAGAGAAACATGGCAATTATCTTGTGAGTAGCCCTTTGTTTTTGCATAAGAGAAAGGTCCAATTTGACAGTCGAACTTGACAGCTCAGCATTTTTCGCACAAAGAATTTTTCACGCAGTTATGGATCTTCTCTCCTTCATTCTCAATTCTTTCCAACCCTCCCCCCCTCCCCTCCCCTCCCCTCCCTTTCCCTTTGTCTAAACTCCCCCCCTTATGAAAGCCATCGAACCATATTCACAGATTTAGGCGCAAAAAGTTAAGTAATGACTGGATACTTGCCTCTGCCAAAGTCATGGACATTGAAGTTGACGAAGATTTGTATCTTTTTTGATGAGATGATTCGTTCATTAAGATGCAAATTCTCGATCATTACGCTTCTGTGTGCGATCACATGGTCTGGGACTAACTAGACTAGTAGCTTCAACATTTGTTTTAGGCAGTTTGGGCTTGAATGCATTTAATGTCAGAAACATTTCAGTGGAACGGGCGGAACTGGTGTTCGGGAACTTTACTGTCTTGAAGGTTTGATGTCACATTTTATACACTGTCCTGTTCAGTTTATTTTCCTTAAAAGAGTTTTTTACAGACTGGAAGATCTCGGAGATCAGGGAGAAAGGAAAGAGCGACAAGTAAAGCTGAAGCAATTGAAAGGTAATCAACCTTTAGTTAAGGCAGACAATGGTTGTACTGACAGTCCCACCAAAAATAATGGATCTTGCAGGCTGATAATATCTTAGTGAAATCAAAATGGGTTACATTTAGCTTGTAGTAGTAGGGTGGGGTGAGGATTATTGTTCTCATGCTTCTTACGTTTGAGTTCTATGTGAAAGTATCGAAAGGTAGTAAACAGTCTTGATTTCCAGCCTTGTGTGGGTTAGCGTTAGCTTAGCCTGAGTCGAGTGCTCCTTTCATTTATTGGTGAAATTTTTATACAAACTATATCAGCGCCGTTTTATTTTATAGCGGAACTTACTGGTTTGCTGAAGACACCTCTGATTCCTGCTGGTTTTAGTGAAAAGCACCCGACTAAAACTGGATCCCTTATAATGCCAGGGATCAAAGGTATTAGGTGAATAGAGAAACAAGAGTATTTTGAGGGACAAAATGATGTGTTGCTAAACACATCGTTTTGTGATCTTTAGTGAGAGTATTATTAGTGATTTAACAGAGCTAGTGTCAACTGAGGCTCCTTTTGCTTTGTTTTGTTTGTTTGTTTGTTTGTTTGTTTGTCTTTTATATTCTCTTTTCCTGCTGCCATCCGCTGGTTTTCTGGTCCGTATGTTTTTTTTTTTTTTAATGAGATAACTGCTTTTTTCCTTTCCTAGTCATGTGCCAATTGTTTAAATGTTCGTTTTATTTCGGTATTCACAGCCGACACGAATTTGGAAGATAATGAAAAAGTGGCTGTTGAAGATGTAAGAAGAAAGAAAAGAAACAAGAAAAGCAAAACGTAACTTGCATTCTTCAAACGAGGTCGACAACTGATTGTGAAAGAAGAAGGGAGATTAAAAACACGAAATGGAGAAAGATTCTTACTTGTAACAACTGGACAGGAAGAGAAAGAGTTGATTTGAGCAAGGTTGACTAGTCAGTGGTAGAATAAACTAAAATCTCGTCTTAAAGTCTTTGACTCCGATGCTATATGGACACAATGTAACTTGAAGCAATGGCGTTCTTTTATCTTCGGGACACCACCCTTCAGACTCGCGGTATAATACGACTGGACAAAGCAACTAGTCACAGTCTGACAACACATGTCCACTTTGCGCATTTTCTTGATTTGTGATTTGAATTGATTTACAGATGTTTTGTTCTTTACTCAGTGGCCCGAATTTAAAAGTTAGGATTGTTTCAGTCACATATTGCCGTTTGTCATATGAAGGTTTCAAGGTTGGGTCGGAAAGGAACTGAAAACGCTGTTTTAAAGGGAAATTATTTTTCACATGCTTGACAAATGTTGTCCACAAACCTTTCGCTAGTTCATATATATAAAAAAATTTTAAAAAAATATGTAGATGTGTAGTAAGCAGGAGATTCAGTAAAAGCCGGTCTACCGCCGTTTGTTGAGCAGGGTCTCGTGTTTAGGTTTCACCTTACGCCTTTTCTGGCACATTCGCTTATTACATCATCGGCAGCTACTTAAATGTATTGAGACCCCAGAATGTGAGAGAAATCGTTGGAAGGCTGTACGAAGATTTTAATATTATGAGGGCCAAACTACACGTAGGTGTGCATGGCGTTACTTGAGGAGACGTGAAGAATAACCCTTTTCCAATAAATAAGTCATTTGCTGAGAAATCCCCTTAAGACTCGTTCACACTAAACTTCCCTTGAATCTTTGCCGTTTAGTTTATGCGTGAATGTTGTTTTGGTATCAATGCTATGAGAATATGTTACTATGTAAGTGTACCACTCCATACCTGGGTGAAATTGGCGATTTGACGTGAATACGCGCAGGGCTTAGTCGTATGTGAAATCTGATGACCCGATTCTACCTTGTCTATCTCGGTCGTGATGACCGATCAACATCCCAAATTGTAACCCAAGACTGGTGTGGTTAGGTGGCTTGATTTGTGATCTTAATTCTATTAGGACAAACTAATCCACTAAGCACCAGTTTTAACTTATGGCTCGGTCTACACTGTACGCTTTTATGAGCCGTGACGCTGTGCAGCATTGCCTTCCTTCTTTACGAGCTATTTCATTTCGAACGCAATTTGCATTGTTATGGTAAAGTGAATCTTTTTGTTTTGTTTTGTTTTGTTTCTTTTGGAGGCTCTACTTCCTCCATTCTGTCGAGTGCGGGCCAGGTCTCATTTCCCAAACAGATGCCGGGTATCGCTAAGGTTTTTTATGACCTGTTTGACAAACGGCATCCGAAATGAAAAGAAAAGTGCGAAAATGAGAGGCAACTAGACCTCTTCACAATTCTTCATTTTAACACTTGCACATCAAGGTGGTAAAAATCTACATTTTCTATGATAATGATTATATTTTATATTATTATATGTATTACACCATTATGCGAGCCAAATGCTGCATGGAGACAAAACCCTTGATTTAGTGGATCACGTTCTGCAGAGTCGTAATCCATCGATCTGAATTCAATTAAATTGGCCTGCTGGTCACTGGACTTGTAATGAGCTTGCAAATGTTACAATGTTCCTAAAGCGAGGGAACTTTTGCATGGGAAGGACAATCCCGAAGAAGAAGTCAAAAGCCACGGCTGTTAGAGAGAAGACAGACGCTGTGACCGCCACGAAGAAAACAAACATGATGAGCTTGGCAAGTAATTCACCAGATGTTCCATCGATCCACAGATTATCCAAAATGATTAGTTCCATCGACTGAGGCATAACAACACCTGTTACGAGTAGGTCGGCCACAGCGAGGTTGACGTACATGAAGCTTGTTAATCTTCTTGTTTCTGGCCTCTTGTACAGAATATAGATCACCAAAATGTTTCCAACTGAGGCCATTGAAATGATTGCAGCGTATAAGATGGCGAAGGTGAGTTTAATACTTGATGGATACGAGAATGGAGGCTGCGCCGTGGAGCCTGAAAGAGAATGAAGTACCATGGTTAAAGCAAAAACAAAGGAAATAGGTCTGCAACTCGCGCGTACACCGAAAGGCAACACAGATAGTGACAATATGCCGTAATAATTATTGGAAAAACATCCATTAAACCCAAGCTTTCTCCATCATTGAAGAGTGCATCAATCATGTCATAAGGGGATATGCAATTGATAAAAGGAAAATATCAAAGCTTTTGGTGCTTTGCGTTTTTCACAAGTATTGCAGCAGCAACAATGGTAGCGTTAGCTATTTTTAAAACACTTTCAGGCGCTATTTGTGCGAAGGTGGTTTTCCTACCGTTATCAGCCTGCGAGGACGTCAACATTTTTGGATCTGCAGCTTCCTAGTCTCTACAGTCAGCATAATATATCTGAATACTTGGTTGACGGGATAAGCTCAGCTCTAAAAAACCTGAGTCTTTATTTCACTCAACGCTGCGCTCTTTGAATATTGGGTCTGCCAGGAAAAAAAGTGAATTTCAGGTTATCATTGTCAAAATTACAAAAACCTAGATGCTTACCCCAAAACGGCGCAGTTCAGCTAGCCTGCTTAACAGCCTCTTTCAGTTAATTTTTGTTTGTTTTTTGTATTTGTTTTTGTCTTGTTTTGTTTTTGTTGTTTTTTATTGGTCGAAAATGTGCTGCACATCTTTTCAGAACTAAAAATTGTGTCAATTAGTTATTTCGACGATGAGGGAAAAACCTGAGATCCGAGATAAACATACCAGCAATCGTGTGATACTGAAAGAAAAGTGGGTAAGTTTCGATTTCAAGACGTCAAGTCGAGGAATTTTTTGCTCGTCATTTGCAGTACGTGTCAAACTTCGTCTTTTTTAATCATCGTAAACCACATTTTGGATATTCTTATCATATTTTAAAGATATTATCTCTCCCTAAAAATAAATGATAAATAAAACAATCAAAAAAGTAAGAAAACTGCTTTTTAAAAAGACAAACCCACCCCCAGGAGAGCTTTCCATCTTTGTTTACGATTTTTAGCATAATAGAAAAGAATCGACACATGGCGTTATGCTCTGGTAAGGATAAATAGTGAGGCATGTTTTGCTTGAAGTTACCATGAATTGGCTAAGGCCAACTAAATAAAAATTCCAGGTTCTTGTGTTTTTTTGTCAAGAAACAACGTTTTGCGTGAAAGATTGCAAGATGCACCTGTACATTGTCCGTCAAGTTTCTTTTCTTGTTTGTTTAACCTTGATCCTGACAACTCGTTACACCTCGTTTCCCTTTCAAAAAGGTCTCGAATCAATATTACCGAGTGATGAATAATAGTCTTCGAAAGCGTTTGCAAGACGTTTATACTCGCCTTTTCCCCACGAACACGGGGGTTTTCATCTTTCAAATATATGTGCTGAAAATCCTGAAGTAATTTCCTTACTTCCTAGGCTCGTAGTCTTTTCGCATCGAGATTTATTCCTCACATGGAAATGAAGGATATAAAGTTTGGCTTTCTGTGCATCAACTGTTTATAATTGGCCGTTTATCCTTAGTTCTTTGCTGGAATTATCCGGTCATAAACCCATTGACGACGACAGCTTAGTTAAAGAGATGAAAATGGAAAATAAAAACTTAGCTAAGAAACTTTACTCTTGGGGAAGCCATTTGCCACCCAAATTATCGAATGATCGAAGCGCCAATGTTATGTCAACCTTTTTTTTCGTCATCTAAGTTAATTTAGATACGATTTCAGCGGATTTATCGCATAACGATAGAAAAAGATGATGAAAAACACATGGACAGTAAAAGTCATAAAAGTAAATCAAATTATCAAATAAAACAAAAGTGCTTTATCTTTCCTTGTACTATTGAGAACCCGGTTTGACGTTGTGATATTCGTTCCTACAAGGGAGAACTAAGATTGACTAAAGAAAAAATTGGGAAAGTGGTTTTCTTCCTTCAAAGATATCTTGATTCAATTATAATCCCGTAGATGCAAGAGTTCGCATTCCAAGTTTACATCTCGAGGGTCCTTTCGGCTGCTAACATGGCTTAAGCATGATCACTTAATTACAACGACGTTTGCCCGTAGGGGCTTTATTTGAGCCGTGTAGAGCAAAGTGCCCATCGAGGCAAATCATGGTTCGTTCTGTCGTATCTTTGTTGAGTATTTGTTTTTCATCTCATTAGGAGGCCAATTTACTTTTATTTCTTTTACTTTTATTCCTCATGAAGCGTGTTAACAAACTCGAGGCAGTTAATATTCAAAGTTAGAGCAAAAGACGATTTTTAGGAGAAGAGAAAGTTGATGTACCGCAATGTACACTGGGATTCAGAAAAGAGCGAGACCATGTCCTTTGTTGTTGTTATGCAAAAATAGGGACCTGGTTGGGAGTGTGTAACACATACTTAGTGCTATTTCACTTGAGTTTTGAGCCCTGGTCACGTCAAATTTTGTTGTTGTTACTGTTTTTTTTTCCTTTTATGGTTTTTCCCATTCAATTCACATTCTTCTTCAAAGGATATTAATTTTTAGATGTGCTCAAAGTAAAACGGATACGTAGCGACGTAGCTCTTACATTCAAATCGATAGCAGGTCGAAATACAGAGATGACACCCAGAACAAACAGTCTGCCATTTTGAAAACCGTGGGGGGCTTGGGGAAAGGTTTATAGACTTACCGACACCACAATGTGATGAGTACAGCCTTGCTGGAAGGAATGCACAATAGGCACAAAAACGCAAGTGAAGCAAATAATTTTCAAGAAAGTTATGTATATTTTATTTACACTAGGTATATGTTTGAGTTTCATACTGGTAAGTTCCAGAGCGCATTTTGGGATTCGACCGAGTAAAATTTCAGAAAATTTCTAGACTGGGTTTGCTTCTATAAATATTAAAACGAATTTCCTTATCTATTTTTCCCCTTTTTTCAGCTTTGTGCCTGTCCACCCTCCTCCCCTGTCCACTCCCCCTCCCCTATCCACCCTCCTCCCCTGTCCACCCTCCTCCCCCTCCTCTCCTCCTCAGGTGATTACATTAGTCTCAACCTGTGATAACAGCTGATTTGCATTTGCATGTTGGTCTCATCTACCCATTAAAATAAACATTTTTGCCTCTCCTTTTCTCTCATTTCCTCACCACGTTACTTAACTATTAGAGGATATTGTTAGCTTACGTACGGAAACGTGGCATGTTAAGACTAAAAAAATAGTTCACGGGCACTCGTGCTTGCAGGTCACTGATAGCAGAGTTTACACGGAAGGAAAATTATTTCAAGAATTAAACCACTGTATTACAAAAATTGTGAAGAATGGCCGATTACAAGAATCGATCGAGTGACGATAATATCACTGTTATCCCTGACAAAAGACTGCTGCGCCTCTAGGAATTTTAAGTGATGACGCTAAAAGTATGACTCTGTCAGAGAATGAGTTCCCATAGTTGATTCGAAAACGTTTCGGCGCATTTAACTCACTACGCGCCGCAACGGCGAT